ATGACCAGGGCCGGCAGCCAATCGGCCGGGCAGCTGGCGGAGGGCCGTGGCGCCCGGTTGCTAGGGCCGCGCCGTTGCTAGGGCTGCGGCAGAGCGGCCTGGTGCTGCCCGCCCGGCCTTGTGCTGCCAGCCCGGGCCCATGGTGAAGCTCGCTGCCAAGTGCCTCCTGGCAGGTGAGTCCCGGCCCGTCCGCCCCGCTTGCTGAGCGGGCTCCCTGCGTTGGGGCGAGGAACGCCCGGGCCCCCTCAGTGATGGGGAAGCGGCCTGGCTTCTCTCAGCTCCCAGTCAGGGATGCTCCGACGGCGCAGAGGTGTGGAAAGAGGCGACAGGAGAGCGGTGGGGAGCGTAGGTGGGGACGGGAACGGTGGGGATCACGGCTGTTGTTACCCTACTCTGTGCCCCCTCCCGCCTACGGCTGGCAGGGGGTGAAGAGTTGTGTTCAGGGAGGGTGCGAAGTGTGGTGGGACCAGCTGAAGTGCAAGGGAAGGATGAGAGGAGGAGAGGGGAGAAAGGAAAGGGGAAAGGAAGAAGGATCGTTTTAAAAGAGTATTTCTGCAGGGTGGAAAGGTGGACTGAGGATACAGAAAGTGTGAAGAGAGTGGGGTAGGTTGTCCTGCCTCTTGTGGAAGGCTGCCTTTTTGCTGGAGGAAAAATTCGTGTCAGAAGTTGGGATGATGCTGAGAGTATGATGGGAAGGTGGAGCCTTAGCAGGGAGTAGGATGAAGTGTGTGCACTTCTCAGATGCATCTTTTTTTCCCCAAGCAAACTGGAGGTTAGCCTGAAAATACGTGAGGTGAAGACGGGTTTATTTAGTCAGGATGCATTATGAAGGTGCTGAAAGTAAGTGCAGTTGACTGTTACCACAGCAGGAAGAAAACTGTTTCTTTTTTTTCCCCTCCCTCTGCACTGGGGCCCTGTGCAGCCCCAGCCAGAAGCACATAAAACCTCAGTGTGCATACAACTCCCAGGTTTAGCTCCTAGGTTTTCTTTCATCCAGAGTGAAGTGTTTACCTTTTTTTTAACTGCAGAAAAACCCATCAACTTGCACAAAGCTAGGTGTGATCTTTTGCAAATACAGAAGAATTAATCTCCCTTATGCCTCTGTTGATAGTTACTGTGGATAGCATGAGTATCTTGCCTGCCTTCTAGATTTGAAATTTACATATCATTTGCAGTTTGGAATTTTCCAGGTCCAATTACATGGGCTTTGCTTAAGTCTTATCAATTTTATTGTTTAGTGTTACCAAAGGCCAAATCCACGACCATTTTAAATGTACAGACGTTTTCTTTGGGTGACTCCATTATATACTTAATCCTATCTGGGTCTAGAGCTGCTTTTTCCATTCTGTTCACAATACAAACAAGGAGAAGGTCCTGTCCCATATGTAATGCTCCTAAATGCTACAATTATATCCATTAAAAATAATAAATGAATTAAGCAAGCCAGGCAAAATAATTTCTGTCTTGCAGAAGAGACCAATATAGTGAAAGAGACTTAAGAAATTAGTAGGCACAATTACACAGGTAGAAGCAAATACATAGTTTCATAGAATGGAAGGGACCTTAAAGATCATGTAATTTCAATCCTCATGCCATGGGCAGAGACACCTCCCAGTAGACCAGGTTGCTCAAAGTCCCACCAAACATGGCCTTGAACACTTCCAGAGAGGAGGCATCCACAGCTTCCCTGGGCAAATCTGGAGAAGGCTCCAGGGAAACCATATAGCCACCTTCCAGTATCTGAAGGGGGCCTACAGAAGAGCTGGGGAAGGACTTTTTACAAGGCCTTGTAGTGACAGGACAAGGGGTAATGGATTAAAACTGGAGGAGGGGAGATTTAGGTTAGACATTAGGACAAAATTCTTTAGCATGTGGTTGGTGAAACACTGGAACAGGTTGCCCAGGGAAGTTGTGGAGGCCCCATCCCTGGAAGTGTTCAAGGCCAGGTTGGATGGGGCTTGGAGCAACCTGGTCTAGTGGGAGGTGTCCCTGCCCATGCAGGGGGGTTGGAACTAGATGATCTCTAAGGTTCCTTCCAACCCAAACCATTCCATGATTCTATGATTCTTTGTTTCACATGGAACAGGGAACTCTTGTGTACCTAACAAAATCATTATGAAGACTAGATTGGGTCACAGTACTGAGAGCTGCACCAAGGTCAAAGAGAACAACAGAGGAAAAAAGAGGCTTTTTATTAGCAAAATAGAGACTATTAACCTGACAATAGAAAGCCATTCCTGTGTCATCTCAAGGGTAATTTACAGACACAGTGTAAAAGGTATCGTTTGAGCTTACTATGGAGACACTACTAAAAGGTTTTCATTAGAGAAAGGCAGTTGGCAGTAGCAGGCATTTTAGAAACACACCACAGAGTCTGGCAGAATAACTGAAATATGGGTGGAATAAATACTGTGGAATGCAGTACTGGCAGATGAGACCAAACAAAATGAAAAAGACAAGGAAATTTATTTTGAGAAAGTGTAGTGATGTAACAGGCTAAGAGGATGGCAAAGAATAAAATGAGGGAAGGAACAACTGGGGCTGTCAGACTGAAGAAAGGCAACGCAGTAGTTAAGAATTTGCACCGGATGATGCCTGCGCAATTTGGAGCAATGTATGCTTCTCTAGCTCACTTTACAAAGACAGATCTAATTGTCTATTGAAATACAGAATGACTTCCACTCAGAACAGAGTGTCGTCTTCAGCACAAGCTTGAACTGATCAGGGAACAAACGAGCTGACTTACCAGATTTTCTTGTCTAAATATTATGAGCCCAACTCATCTCAAAGTAAGCAAGCATGCTAAAAATGTTTAAACAAGAACGTTTGTTGGTTAATGCATCTAGGAACAATTGTCACTACCCAAAACACACTTACTCCTCTGTAATATTATCTGAACAGATAGGTTTCACAATTTCCTTCAAAACACCATCTAGGAAGCTGTAATAGGATCAAAATATGCCCCTTACTGCATTTATTTATTTACAACATAACAAAAAACTCTTGTATTCCAGGCTTGACTGCCATGAGTGTTTCTTTGAGTGTAAAGATAGAACCACGGAAGTATTTAATTCCTGGTTTCTGTCCTTTGAACTATCCAGGCTAGTGAGAAAGTACATGAAGAGAGGATAGGCCCTTTGGGAACATGAAGTTAAGGCTTTGTTTTGCAATGATTATGGTATTTTTCATGGAGTGATATGGGCATGTATGAATCCAGCAGTTCTCTGCCATTGCTTTGGATCTTAAAGAATTTTGTAATAACAGGCCAAATTAAGCAGCGGCCAGGTTAGCCTGAACTGTTGTGCAAGCCATACCAGAAAGCCTTGGCTCTAGAAGAGCAAAAACGAAAGCCCCTTGATTTTCCTTCCATATAGGGATGAATCAGCAGTTTCATTCTCTCCAGCCAAGTGACATTGTGTTACACTGGGGATGCAACTAATGAGCCACCAACAGCGTTGAGTCAGCAAGAGTTGCTCTCTTAGCAGGGGCAGCAAGAAGAGTTCATGGAGGAGTGTTACCAACTTAAGCAGCTTTGGAGTATACAGATGACCTTTTGCTTCCCTGAACTCAATATACAACAAGGATTTGAATCTGAGGAAAAGGATAATCTAAGGAGAGGAAATAGTCTCCTGTGCAGTGCAGTCTCCCTAATCATATTGTGGTTTTTCTCTGCATGATAACGTATCTGGGAAATTGTAATTTTTAGGTAAAAGCTATAGGATAGACATGGATTTAAAAAAAAAAAAATTTGCACCCTTATCTTGGGCCCTTAACTGTCATTCATAGAGCAGAAATTGTATGTCAGCACCACTATGCATACTAGCAATATTAGTTTTCCCACACGGGTATTACCTTTTAGATTGTTGTGTGCTCCTTGTGATAGTTGTCTTGCTTGTATGCAGAGTTAGAGCATCCAGGCTCTTATGGCATGTGATAAGAACAGAAATGAGGGAAAACAAGATTCTTTAAAATAAAACAAAAATCTTTTATGCTTTTGGCTTTGCAGGAGATCCAGCTGTGGGGAAGAGTGCCTTAGCCCAGATGTTCCGCAATGATGGGGCTCATTTTCAGAAGAACTACACACTGGTAAGGATACAACAGGCTTAAACTGCTCTCCAATGTGTTTCTAAGTTGCATGAGAAAACCAAGAAGGTCTAGAACAAAATAAGTATTTTTTGAGACATTCAAAAAATGTCTCAAAAGACATTTTTTGTCTTTTGACAGACAAAATGACATTCAAGGTGGTGTCTTACCCTTTCTCTTACACCTTAGATTATGAGAAGGAATAATATAATATTCTGTAAGTACATTATATGAGGGCTGGCTTTGAAACTTAATGCAGAGTAATTTTGTTAATTTTATAGTTTTCATAGAATCATAGAATATGCTGAGTTGAAAGGCACCCATCAGGATCATTGAGTCAAACTGCTGTCCCTGTGTAGGGCATCCCAAGAATCACACCGTGTTCCTGAGAGCATAATCCAAATGTTTCTTGAACTCAGGCAGGCTTGGTGCTGTGACCACTTCCCTGGGGAGCTTGTTCCAGTGCTCACCCACCCTCTGGGTGAAAAACCTTTTCCTGATATCTAACCTAAGCTTCCCAGTTCATGTTCCTGCTGTTTCTCCAAGTCCTGTCATTGGTCACAGGAGTAAAGAGATCAGTATCTGCCCCATCTCTTCCTCTCGTGAGGAAGCCATGGACTGTGATGAAGTCACCCCTCAGCTTCCTCTTCTCCAACCTGAATAATCCAAGTGACCTCAGCCACTCCTCATAAGTCATCCCTTTTCCTGCTGCACCAATG